GGGAAGTTCCGACTGCCAGTACCCTGTGTGCCTCGCCCGCCCTCCGGTGGCCTCTACAGATAGCATAGATAGAGGTTGTGAAATTAGTTTTGCAGGACTTCTGGTAAAGGAGTTTCTAACTGTCCTTCCTGGTACAGAGCCTGGCGCAGCCACATGGAGGTCCTCTGGCTCCCTGAGCTGGGCTCATGCTATCCAACAGTCTCTTGCAGATTTGCTGATTCAGACGTAGGCCCAGGGCAAACCACCAAGAACGCACAGGAAGGGCGAAAGATTTGGAAATCCTGAGGCTGGGAAACCGTTTTTCTGAATTGTCAAAAGGAGGAGAGCTGAAAGAGAAACACGTGCTTCAGGTGGCCCCTGGGGTGGTTCTTCCCCGCTGGGGTACCTGCTAGCTCAGGGCGCGCCCTGTGGGAGTTGGGGAATGGCACCCCACTGGCAGGGCCCAGCCCTCATCAGCCCTCCGCAGGGCCCCTGTGCGCAGCGCCCGACCCAGACAATCACCCAGGCAGCCTGCCCAGGCCCAGCAGGGCCACGGAGGAGGTAACAGCTCGAGACAGAAAATGTTCCAGGGCACCCCAATGTGAATGGGGTTGCCCGTCTGTGGGTCCTCACCAGTGCGCTTCCGAATCCATCGTATTATGGACACACTCAAAAAGGTTCCATAATGGATTTATTTATAAGGAGAAAGGTAAAGGAATAACCCAGGGAAAGAGGGAGAGAGACACAGGTTACCTAGGATGTCCCACCAGTTCTGCTGACTTGGACTCCACCGGCAGCTGGAAACCTATCGAGAGCCAAAATGATCAGCCGCGAACCACCAGGCCAGGAGACCCCCAGAGCCCACGTGTCCCGTTTTATCCCAACCTGGCTGCTCAGCTCCGCCCTCACGTCCCCGCGTGCTTCTCCTCGGTACTGATGGGATTTGGAGTTCCAGTGTCTGGAGTGGGGGCGGAGTCCATGACACCTGTACCTGTTACAAAAACTCTGCCCCGCGTCCCAGAGGACAGCGTACGAGGCCGGGAACCCGGGGAGAGAGTGGCCCCGAGAAGAAAGAGTCTTGAACAGTCTCAGCGTTTCCTCCAGTGTCTGATGGGGACAGTGACTGGCGGCCAGGTGGGTGTGGCTCCCGGCGCCGCTGCTGGGACACCTGACAGCACCCCCTCCCCCACCCGCACAGACCCCAGGACGCGGCTCGTGGAAGCCCCTCGGAACCAGCCCCAGCCCCAGGGAGGACGGGGAGAAGCCTCAGGAGCCAAGGCACCTGCTGGGGACACACAGAGGGTCCCCCCCGGCCCCCACCCCAGCAGTATGGTCTGACGGGGGCCTGTTGGGGCTGTGAGCCTTGGTGAGGTTGGCCGGGCCGTGGCCAGACACTCAGGCAGGGCCACTAGCCCCTGGTGCTGGGAGCCCTGGACATTAATGGGAGCAGGACTTGGAGCGGCCCCTGAGCCTTGGCTTATTCAAGGCCGGGGAGGGCAGGGCCCAGGACACACCCAGGGGCCAGCGCCTTTGCGGCAGCCCCCAGCCCCACCCCGGCTGTGCGCTGCAGCAGTCCTGACGCTCTGCCCACGTGCTCGGCGTCTGTATGCTTAGTTGTGTCTCCTGGCCGGGGTCGGTGGCTCCCGAGTCTGTCCCTGCTCTGTGGCCGGAGGTCAGTATTGCCACCGGCTGGCCCCCTAGCAGACTCCGCTGTGGTCGCTGCCCGGCCCCGTCACTTACGAGCAGGTGTTCCGGGCCTGTTGCTTAAATGGCCACCACCGGGACCTTCTCCCCTGAGTCTGTGGCCTCAGCCCCAGGTTCCTGGCGCCAGCAGCCCCATATCACCGAGGCCTGGGCTCTGCGCTGGTCCCCTCCTCTCCGAGCCGGGCACTGTCCCTGCCGCTGAGAGGGGCCTGAGGGTGCCTGCCCCCCCCGCTCCTGCCCCTCCTCTCCCCAGGGGTCACTGCCCGCCCAGCGGGGCCCCGGGTATGGGGCTACACCTGTTTTAGGGGCGAAAATCACCAGGCGGAGACAGATGTTGCAGGGTTTTTTATTAAAACCAGGTGAGTCACTCGGTTACCTGACAAGGCACAGGTGTGGCTGCCCCGCCCCGCCCGCCTCTGGCAGCAAAGGTACACCTGCCGTCTTCAGGGGCCCGGGCTGATCAGGTGGCATGGTGGGGGCTTAGCTTAAGGCTTGGATTAGGGTTGAGTGAGGGCAAAGATGGAGGTCAGAGGCTGGAAGGAACTGGTCAGATTGGGGTGGGAGGATTATGCATCAGGCATGACCCCAACGGCAGGCCAGTGGGCGAAGGGCCAGCCTCTGGGTTCTCGGGGAGACGCCCTCCGGGGGGCAGGTCCCTCGGGGCGAGTCCCCAGGGCACCCCTGCCCCTCACCCTCCCGCTCCCACCCACCCACCGCTCACAATCAAACCGACACTCAGAAGCACACGCTACTCAGCTACAGGACATTCGGGCCCGCCCTCCCGGCCGGGCGGGCAGAGGCGGGGTGGGGGACAGGGCTCAGCCCTGGAACCCCAGCTCCTTGTACTTGGCGGCCATGTCGTTCCGGAACAGCTCCAGGGCTTTCTTCATGGCCTCCTTGGTGTCGGCGCCGAAGTCCCCGGAATGCTTGCTCTGCAGCACCTGGATGATGGCCTCAGAGATGAACTGCAGGGGAGGGAGGACGGGCGCCGGTTGGACAAGCGGAGCCGGGCTGACCCAGGCTTGGCCTCTCCTATGCCAGGGCATTCACCGGGGCACCCTGGGTGGTCTCCATGGAGGAATCCTTGGCCCCCGTGATGCCCTGAGACAGGAACAGATGGGGAAACTGAGGCCTGTCTTGGGACGGCTGAGGAAAGGCTAAGCTGTATGCGCTGGCCACGAGGCAGGCGGCTGCTCACCCCCCGGCCTGATCGGCTCCTGCTCAGAGCAAGGATGCAGAGGCTGCCGGGCCAGAGCTCGGGGTACAGGACTCGGGGTGCAGCCCTTGGAGAGGTGGAAAGGGAGGGACCTGCTGGCCCTGACTTTACCTAGCAGATTGCAATCAGAGAGATGTGGAAAGAAACTTCTACGTGCATTTAACGACTTGGTTATGCTACTGCTTTAAATAGGATGGGGTGGGGAGACGGGGACTAAGAACTGCCCCTTTTCCATGGGACCGGCCTCCCGTTCACCCCGAACTTAACGTTTTCTATTGGCCCTACTGTTCACACCCACAACTTCATCACCCAGAAAACCAGGCCAGCAGGAGTCGCGGCAGCTCGGGGCCGGAGATCTCACAGACATAAATGCCCTGTGCTTTTTCAGCCGTTAATCAGGATTGATCCCATCACAGCCCCTGGCCTGCAGGCCTCATGGTGTTGTTTTAGAGTCCCAGGCAGGAAGTGGCCAGGCTGGGGTCACGCAGCAAGCGGCCAGCAGAGCTGGGGCTCACCCCCAGGGGACAGAGGCCTGTCAGAGCCAGACAGACGTAGTAACTGTACTGTCATCATGTTTTGCCATTTTCTCAGGAGCCTGAGGCGCCAGTGACAGAAAGCCCTGGGGAGAACAGGAAAAGAGGGAGCCCCCAAAAGAACACGCATCAATGCCCAGTGGGGACCTTTCAGCTAAGAAGCAGGACAGCCTGCGAGTGTCTACCTCTGGGCTCGATGGGATGGAGACCTCCACCTTTCTCTTTATGACTCAAAAAGCAAAGTGGGGTACGGGATGCCAAGGAGCAGCCTTAGGAGACCCAAGTTCCAGGCCCAGCTCTGCCCAGACCCCCCCCCCTGTGACCTCACCTGGACCCCAGGGACCTAGGACACCCCATCGGGAACCCCAGACTCAGCCTTCCCTGAATCTAAGGCAGCGCCATCGATAGCCAGTAAACTCTGGGGTGGGCAGCGGGCCACGGACCCTGGTGCCTCTGCCCGCTGCAGGCCCCGCCCGCACTCTGGGCCAGAAGGAGCAGCTCTCGGGGGAGGACGGACTGGGCTGTCTGAGCCATGGGCAGTGAGTGGAGCTTGTTGGGGTGGCGGGGCCTCTGCCAGCGGGGGGTGTCACTGGCTGCATGTTCCCCTAAGCCTCTCCCTTTATCCCTGGGGAAGGGCTGACCTCCTGCTGGACAGGTGAGCCCCGCACACTCCCAGGGGCGCAGGCCTGGAAGACAGCCGGGTTCCGCCCTGGAGGGGCTCCCGGCCCAGCCCACAGGTCACTGTCAGCACAGCACAGCCTGCGGGCTCAGGCCGGGCAGCCCAGGATAAAGGGCCTCGTGGGTGGGGAGGGCAGGCGGAGGGGGCAGGCTGCCCCCTGGGCCTGGGCCAGGAGGAGGACGCGGTTTGTGAGCTGGGCTGGGAGGTGAGAGGAGGCCCAGACCCCAGCGGCGGGGCCGGCTCCGTGTGTCTGGGGTCCTGAGTGGGGTGGGCAGGCAGAGGGTGGTTTGGGGGTGCAAGGAGGGGAGGCTCAAGAGGGAGCGTGGCTGGCGATGAGAGACATGGGACCCAGAGACTCAGAGCCGGGGCTCCAGAGAGCTGACGGTGCGTCCAGGCTCATGAGCAGTGTGACCTTGGGGAAGTGGCTTAACCTCTCTGAGCCGTGTCCAGGTCTCAGTGAGGGTGACAGGGGCCGGCTGGGGCAGACACAGCACCTTCTCCTCTGGTGGCTGCCCACTGGGTGACAGTGGGCTACAGCTCCCAGCTCCCCGGGCAGACACGTGAGTTCTTGTAACTAAACCCTGCCACCCCGGCCTGGGCCCCCCGCCTCCCCGACCCCCCAGGGCCCTGGCCCCCAGCCCCCGCCGCTCTGCCCCGCACCTCCAGGTACTTGACGGGGATCTTGTGCTTGTTGGCGTGGGACTGTGCCAGGGGCTGCAGCTCCGCCGCGTGCTGCCCCTTCTTCTTGAGGATGCCGCCCAGGGCGGTGAGCACGGTGGCGCCGTGCTTCTTCAGGTCCTCGGAGGCCTTCATCTCGCCCTCTGACTTCAGGCTCTTGAACTTGTCAAACTTCTCCAGGGTCTCAGGGTGGTTCTTGAAGAGCCTGTGGGCACAGACAGGCCTGGCGTCAGACGTGGACATGCCCAGCAGGCCTAGAGGCAGCGACGAGAGGTCACGCCCGGGCTGCCCAGCTGTGTGGCCTCAGGCAACTCACTTGACCTCTCTGTGCCTAGCGTCCTCACCCGGGGCATGGGAGTATCCAGGCTCACTAGGGGGGCGGGAGGACTGAGTGAAGGGTGAGCCGAGGGCTGCAGGACACCGACAGTCTGCCTGGCGCGAACTCCTGCTATTAGTTTTATCTCGGGCATCAAGGTCTCCATCCTCCACACGGCTGCTGAGAGCAGGCTGGAAGCCATCTCTGCTTTCATTGCACCCTGGCTCTCTGGGGTTTTCTCCGTTGTCTGGGGATGGAGGACAAACCAGCAGGGGGAGGCGGGGGCGAGAGAGCCGGGGACCCTGGCACCCACTGCTTCCCTCTGGGCCGTATCACCCCTGCCTGCAAGGGGACAGAGGCCCAGGACGCCCAGTCCCGGCCCCGTCTGGCGGGGCTGCGGTGCAGAGCACACTGAAATCAGGTCCGAGGGACTCAGTGGTGGCGTGTGTCGGCCAGCGCCCTTCTGTGTGGCTTCTTGCCGGGGATCATCCTCTGGCGGCTTAAACGCGTCCTGCCACGGAGACTCACTACCACCCACCAGAGCCATTCCCGCCTGGCAGCCCCCAGGCCCGCTTCCTGCACCTCTCGGGCGCCAGGAGGTACAGCTGGCGAGGGGCCGTGGGGGAGCAGAGACCAGGCGAGCCAGCCAGGCACCAGGGGCTGGCCAGAGAGCCCCAGCCCGTGACGCCGAGCGGCCACCTCCCGTGTCAGACCTCAGCCCTTCTCCCTGTGAAAGGTGGTGTTGGTTAGAGAGTTGCACCCGGGTGGCGAGGTGGCTCCCCCTTGTCTTTCTTGGGCAAGAGGGTGTCCAGAGGTGGGGGGCAGCTCAGGGCCACGTAGCTGTGGGCGGGAGAGCAGACCCGAGCTCGTGTGGGAGGGTCCCCCAGCTCGCGCTGCCTCCCTTGGGTTGCACCCTGAAATGTCTGCTGCAGTCACCTGTCTGCACTGGTTTTTCCTGCTCCTGGCTGATGGCTTCAGCTGCTGGCTGTGTGATTCCCAACCCTCGCCACAGACACGCCCTGACTCATACGCATGCACACGTGGGCACACACTCAAGCACGCACCACGCACCCCTCCTCTTCCCCAGGATGCCAGGGCTGTCCACAGCTGTGCTGGGCATCACCCCCTCACCCTGGGGCCCGGCCAAGCCTCGTGCGTCATTGACAGCTCATCTCTGGCACCTTCCACCTAAGGGACCCTGAGCTCCTGACTATTATTATCTGCTGACAATGATCCTTGAACTCCTGCCTGACAGACGTGAGACCTGTCACCCCCCGGGCAGAGGCCCGACATCGGATCACTGACCCAGGCCCAGAGCAGCCAGGCACCTCAGGCATTTGGGGGAGTCCCAGATGTCTGAGAGAAAGAATGAGAGCCTGAGAGGGAATGAAGGTGACTTCTGGCTCCAGATCTGTCTCCAACCTGCTGTGTGATATTGAATAAGTCACTGAACCTCTCTGAGTCTTGGCTCATGCTTCTGTGAACCAAAAGGGTTGACTCAGTGCATTTCCCAGCCTCCAAATTTCAAGGCTTGACCTTGGTCCTCAACTATGCCCTAACCGTCCCTGTACAGCAGGTCAGCCTCTAAACAGCTTTAAACAAGGCAGGAAAATCATGCCTGCCGGACCAGGCGGCCCCTCTTGGGGACAGCCACGGAAGCCCTGCCTGATTGACCCAACAGAGGTCCACAGCAACCCAGAAAATGAGCGCCTGGCCTCACAGGGTCCCAGAAACCCTCACTTGCTTTGGGCTTTCATCCTCTATCTGCCTGGCTCATCCCAGGTCTGCAGGAAGTCAGAGAGAAAGGGGGCCCACTCCTGCTAATGCCTGGGACCCAGCCAGACACCCCCACAGAACTCAAGCTTCTAGCCCTTCCCAGCCCTCTGCTCTAGAACAAAAGAAGCAGTGTGGGCTGGCTCTTCCTTGGGGAGAAGAATTGGGGTGCGGGAGGGGCCAGCAGCACAGCATGGGGTCTGGAGCAGGTGAGCTGGATCAGGCGGCCTGGACGTGAGTGCCAGCTGCGTGACTCTGGGCAAGTCACGTCACATGGCTGGTACATGTGGGGATCCTAACATCTACCTCACCGGGCTTGGTGAGGCTTACATGAGTCGGTGCCTGTGGGGGGCACGCACGCTCTTCTCCCACTTGCCCCGGGCCTGCTCGTCTCTGCTGTCACCGTCACCCTCGCTGTCACCACCAGTGACACCTGAGATTAAGGCTCCATCTGTAGAGCCAGTGCCGGGCTGCCTCACGGCCTCGATTCTCCCTGTAACATGAGATACTCTGGCCTCCAGCAGCGAGCTGCAAAGCTTTCATGGCCTCCAAATCCTTTGTTCAAGTGCAAAAATAAATAAAGCAGAAAAGTCTTGGCAAGAGAAGGAAAAGCAGGAGGCGGGAGCCCCTCGGCAGCCCCTGCCTCCCGACCCCCACTCCTGCTCCCACAGTCTCCCACTTGACCTTCTGGCTTTTGAGCCCTAACCCCATCCCTCAGGCTCCACCACGCTCAGCTGGACAGAATTTGCCTCTCATAATCAGAGGAGTGGGAGAAGGTCAGTTAGAGAAAGCCCAGATTCAACTTCCGAGGCCGACCAAGACGCCCGCTCCCGGCGGATTTGCAGCTCAGAGGACTAGTGTGTCCTCTCCCGGCCGCCCCTGCCCGTCCAGCCACCGAGAGGGCAGAGGTAGAAGGCGTGGTCTCTGTGTGCAGGCCACCGAGACGTGGCAGGACACCGCACTCTCTGGGCTTCCAGGAGCCTTCCCCCTCGTCCCTGGCGGCTGGCCCCTGGCGGGCCTCCTGGTCCACCTGAGAAGAGAGGAAATGTCTCCCCGGATGACACAATATCTCGACTCTCCTTTGAGACATCCAAGTCACTATCTCAGAGCTGGCGGCCCCCAGATGACCTTGACAGGCTCTGGCTCTGCAAGCTGGCTCCCCAGTTCCCTAAAAGCAGGGGTGGACCATGAGCGCAGAGAATGCCAGGGCATGAGCTCCCGAGACCAGGCCAGACCGGAGGTAGGGAAATGGGGTCCGGGGAGGAGGCATTGGCTCAGCCAAGTCACACAGCAACCTGGGGCCAAGGAGTTGGTGGCAGTTTGCATGAGCTCTTTGCCCACTCAAACAGGACTTGTTGCAGCCCTGGCAGGAACTGAAAGTCGCATCCCCAAGATGCCAGCTAGGCAGCGGAGAGCTTGACAATCCGCATGCTAGTCCGGCATCGGCCACCGGGGCGCAGCAACTGGCCAGTTGCCCCAGACATGGGTGAAGCCTGAGGGAGACAGAAAGGGCAGCTAGCTAGCTGGGAGAGGAAGCCCTTTCTGGCTCAGAAGGAAGGAGAAATTCATCTGTCAGTGAAAGGACCAAGGACAAGCACGCACTCCTGGCTACACCGGCCCCTTCCTCCTGGGCGCTGAGAGACTGATTGACACCCCGTGGGGCTTTTGACTGGGCTGGCCTAGAGCAAGAGAGAAGGGGCCCAGGGAAGGGGTGAGCCCACCGCCCCCTGGGGTGGACAGCAATGGGAGGAAGAGCAGCTATTTGAAGATCCTATGCCATTCTCTGTTTACACGGCTCAGACTTTTGTTTTCTTTGATTTATTCCAGAACTCTGTATAGAAGGCAAGGCCATTCTGAGCAATCAAAGTCAAAAACATATTCAACATCACAGGTTACACCAGGGGGCCTCCGCTTCTCTTTTCTAATGACCGTAATTTAAAGGTCCCTGTCTGGATGAGCTGCGTCTAGAACAGTTACTAACAACTTCTAGAGCTCATGGATGCTCTATGATGTAGACATCAGGAGTTTCTCCACTGTATCAGTGAGGAAATCAAGGCTCAGAGAGGTTGTGTACCTTCCCTAAGGTCACGCAGCTCCTCAGTGGCAAAACGAGGTCTAAAGCGACCAGTTCCACCGTGAAGGCCATGTCTCAGCCTTGACACTTTATAGGTTTTTACACACTTGGGACTCTGGGAGCATCCTTTCCCCCTCTGGGCTTTTAAGATTGGGACCAGGGGTGGGATATAGCTCAGGGCTCTTGCTAACTCTGTCTACATGCGAAGATTCCTCTCTGTATCGAGGGTCGATTACTCAGCTCCCCCAGTTGCTGGCATAGGCCAAAGGTGGATCTCCCCCTTTCCTGACTCCAGTCTCTGACATCTAAAAGCAAAAGCTTTCACAAATGGACCTTTTAAGGAACTCAACTAACACAGCCAACTGGTCAACCCTGGCAGCAAACATTCTACCATGCAGGTGAATCCCCTTCATCTTTGGGAAGCAGGTGTTAGAATAATGGGATCCCCTCCTTTTACCTGATGAGGACCTCCTGTCCATGGCCCGGGATGTCAGCTTCCACCTTCCCCCAGATGTTCAGCACCAACTGCCATTCCCCATCGCTGAGCCCCATGGCGAAGTCTGAAGAAGACAAAGAGAGCGAGTGTGGACCGACTGGGTATCCCGGCTCTGACAGCTGGGGTGTGAGGCTGCCTGGTCTTGCAGGAGCTTTATACCCTCCGGATCCTTGACTCTCGGTCACCTGACTGCTTGTTCAGTCTCTCCCTTGCCCGCACCCCCCCTTTCATGCAGGGGTCTAATCTTTTCCTTTCTCTAGCCCTCACATGGAAGCTATTTTGGGGCAGGTGCCATTGTGGGGAGGTAGGACAACTCAGGCCACAGGGTGGGGGTGGTTGTGTGTGTGGCAAGAGTCGGGAGGAGGTTGGGCCACTGTCTGGACTGTCAGAAGCTAACAGAAAGGGCACCACCCAGGCCAGCCCCAGCAGCCTGAAACCCAACTCTCTGTGCTGTCAGTCATCCCAAGAGGGCTGTCATCTTTCTGAGTCTGGGTTGCAGGCGACCTCCTGGGGGGTCTCCCGGGCCTCGCCCCAGCTGTCTACAAGCTAAGGTTCCTCTTGGTGGACTCGGGCCCCTGGTCAACCACTTTCTGCCCAGGTTGCCAGAAGGCCCCTCACTCAGCCAGAAGTGTCGGGAAGGAGCTGCATGGGTTTCTGCTTCGAGCCGGACCAACCCAGGAAAATCTGAATGTTCCCGCTCTACCAAGAAGACTCCTGCCTGTGGAGTGTGCTCTGAACCAAGAATTGCTTCCTCCTTCCATGTGTTTGCACATAGGCCTGTTGTATTGTTTACCCCGTCAGATTATATTTCTTTGTTTCCAAGCCGACTCCTCCATTACTCTAATGGCCAATACTCAGAGACTCCGCTGGGCGCCAAGCCCATTCCCAAGCACTTATACCCAGTGACTAGCTTAATCACCTAATGGCCTTACGTGCCAGACATGGACATGACCCCATGGGGGGGGGAGTGAGGAAATCTTGCCACACACACAAACAGTCAATGGATGGAGACTTGGGACTTGAACCCAGGAAATCAGGCCCCTGAGTCCATGCTCCGAGCATCTTGCTTTGATTTTCACATGGGCAGGGACTTTGTATTATTCATCTGTGTATCTTTCGGACCTCACATGGTGCATGGCCTCAAGTCTGAACTGAATGTTTGTTGAGTAAAAAGATGGATCGCTTTGCAAGGAAGGAATTAGAGGGTTAGTGGCCATATTTTACAGTAACCCATTGTCCATCCATCCCCACACATCCATCCATCTTTCCTTCCTCACACCCATCCATCTTTCCATCCCTCCACCCATCCGTCACCCATGCACCCAAGCTTCCAGCATGTTCTCTCTCCCACCTGCTGCCAATCATTGCTGATTCCACTGGCCCCAGTAACTAGCCCGAGACAACAGCTGACAGTGCTGTCTACCAGCTGCACCAATCATATCCCCTTTTAAAAATGTAATCAGTTTGACAGAAATTAGTCAGGTGATAGGAAATGTAGTCACAGGGGCTCGGTTTCATGGCTATTCCTGGGTAAGAACCTCAAGCTAAAGCCTCCCAATGCAACCCTGAGTCTAGAACACTCTCTACCCTTGCAAGGGTTACCACGAGCCACCACTATGATCTCCTTCGCGCCTTTACAGGGAGTCCTATTTATTCAGACAGCTGATTCCTAGTGGCCAAAGGGTCGGAGACACAGGGGCCGCCTGCCAGGTGCCCTTCCTAACGTCATGTTCCAGATGTCACCCTTGAGGGGTAGAGCTCAGGGGGAGAGCATCTGATGGCAGCAGTCACCCAGAGGTGGCATCACCCAGATGCCAGGCCAAGGAGCTTCCAGAGCCAGGCGGCTGTCAGCTGAGAGGTGCACTAGCAAAATGAATAGAAAATGTGTCACAGGTGGGACTACATCAAAATACAGATTTTGCACAGCAAAAGAAACTCTCATTAAGATGCAAAGAGATGGGGCCCTTCCTGGTGGCGCAACAGGTTAAAGCACTGCTCTATGAAGCTGTCTGCAGCCACTGCAGCACGAGTTCGATCCCCAGCCAGGGAGCTGACACACATGGCTCAGCAGACCTCTCTTCTCTCTCCTGCTTCTCCCCTCAGCAGTGTATTTCAGTCAATCTGCTTGTTCTGCCCCCTACTCTGTCTCTGGTGCGTCCTCTCACACCCCCAGTCTATACCCCAGTTCTTGTATGCATAAATAAATAAATCTAAAAAAAAAAAAGGTACAAAGACATGGTACCGAATGGAATGAAGACTGGCACGTCATACATCCCATGAGGGCTGGCAGCCAAGGGTTGTAGAGAACTCATCCAACTCAACAACAATAAAAATAATCAAAACATGGGCGAGAGATCTGAAGAGACACTCCTCCAAGGAAGACATACAGATGGCCAGCAGGCGCATGCAAAAACATCCGGCACCCCTTATCAGGGAAATGCCAATCAAAGCCACAGTTGTACACCTGACGCCTGTGAGGGTGGCACAGATCAAGAGGACCCAACAACAAGGGCTGGCGAGGATGTGGAGAAAAAGGCGCCACCCCCGTGCTTGGGAAGATGGAGCTGGGCCAGCCGCTGTGGACAACTATGGCGGTTTCTCAAGAGACCAAAACTGGATCTCCCATTCCATCCAGCTAGCCCTCACCTAGGTATCGACCCGAGACTGTAAAACGCCAATCGAGGAGATGCGTGCGGGCCTACATCCCTGCAGCACTGTGGAAAACAGCCAGGTATGGAACAAGTGGAGGGCCCAGAGGTGGTCTGTGTCTGTACTCAGCTACAGAAAGATGAAGTCTTGCCATTCGCCACATCACGGATGGAACTAGAAGGATTGTGAGTGGAACAAGTCCGGAGGAAGACAGATTCTAGATGGTTACAGGCATGTGTGCAGAATAGGAAGAATGGAGCAGGGGACAGATAACGAAGCCGGGACAGCCCAGAGCGGGGGCGGCAGGGGCCCGGCCAGGAGAGGAGGGTCTCGGCGTGTCGGCGGGGGGCTGGGGGACGCCGGTTGACCAGAGGTAAACCGCACCCTTAAGACATGGCAGTCGGGCCCTCCCTGGGGGCGCAAGGGGTGAAGTCGCAGCACTGTGAAGCTGTCGGCAGCCACTGCAGCACGAGTTTGACCCCCTCCAGGGAGGGACCCACAGGGCGCAGCAGGCCTCTCCTGCCTCCCCGCTGCTCCCTCAGCAGCATGATTCAGTAGATCGGCCTGTTCTGCGCCCCACTCTGTCTCTGGTAAATCCTCTTACCCCCTAACCTACACCCTAATTCTTATATGCATAAATTAATAAATCTTTTTTGAAAAAATTCAACAACATAGACACAGCAGTGCCGCCTCACTCTACAGTGTCCTGGGGGGGTTTTCAGCGGCCGCCTGTCCATTCATCCTCCATTTGCCCACTTCTTCGCTCATTCATTCTTTTGTTCACTGCCTGCCACGGAGGTCGGTTTGCGCCAACGTCCCAGTCAGAAGAGGCCGCTCCGGGAGGGTGTGCTCAGAGCTCAGGCCTCGGCAGCTGCGGCCGCCGTCTCTGGTGACCGCTGAGGACAAGGCTGGTGGACAGCTGCCTGTGCCGCCCCACGCTGGGCCGGCCACCGGGGCACCTGGCTGGCACCCAGAAAGAGCCTCACGGGCTCTGACTGAAATCCTTAGCCCTGGGCAATGCCATTTTCCATCCCTTGCTGGCCTGCACCTGCCCAGGAAAGCTGACCGCTCTGGGGGCGCCAGGGAAAGGCTGAAGGCAGCAAAGACGGGGGGAGACCCAGCCCGGGCCAGCCCCCGAGACCACAGCAATTCTGCAGCCTCTGGCCCCGCGGTTTGAGAACGGCCTCTGTCTTTAAAATCTCATCGACTCCTGTCTGATGCGAAAGCGTTTAACACAAAGCTGTGGCCCCTTGGCGGGCGCCCCGTCAGCTGGCATGCTCCCCGAAACTGTGGCTTTGAAGCTGATGAGGCTTTTAAGTTTTACCATTTAAGCTAATAGGCAAGAACCCACATCTGTTTGTACTTAAATCTCTACAACAGAGCAGCTCACCTAGCCGTTACTATGGCTACCTGGAGTCGCCAGCTTTGTTTGGGGGCTATAATTATCCCCGAGACAGCCTTCAAGTGGCCAGGGCAGAGTTGCGGGGGGTGCAGCACAGGACAGAGGGCTGCTTCGTGTGCAAAACTGCAGCCTCCTCTCAGCCTCCCCTGCTTACTCTCTCTCGCACACACAGTCATGCAGGTGTGTGCACACGCTTACAGGCACACCACACACACACACACACACACACGTGTCTGTGTCCAAGGAATTTCACACCCATTGGGGCAAAGCAGGCTGCCGCCAAGTCATATCTGCCTGCTCCTCCTGTCCCCTTCACGTCACAGAATCCTTTGAACGTGAAAGCCTGAGACTTGTAGCATCACCCTCAAATCTTCCATATCTGGAAACTTGAGGCCCCAGGATTGAAATTCTAGAGCGCCAATGTCTTCAGTGCCCACCACTCCAGAAAGCTGGGTTCTAGGTTCCAGAATCAGAGAGAGCTGCAGACAAAGAAAGCAATCTAGTCTAGCAGTCTCGGGTCGCAGAGTCTGGAAACGAAGGGACTCAGTGGACGCTGGTGGGCGCTGTAGGTGCCCGCCGGGTGCAGGCCTCTCCCCACGGCTCGTCCCCTGGCGTCTGCTCCAGTACGCCAAGTCCCTGAGCTCCCTCCCCGAAGGCTGGAAGCGCCTCCATGCTGGGACCAGAACACACCCCTGTCCTGCCACCGCATGTGCTGGGCCCGGGGCCCCCTGGGAGCTGGGGGCCAGCAAGTGTCTCCCACAGGCGAGTCTCAGACCCACCTAAGTTTCTCGGTCCACACCCAGCGTTGCAGGACTTTCACTGAACACTGCCCCTAGCAAGGACCTCGAGTCTCTGACCCAGAGGCCCAGTCCTGCCGCAAGTCCCCGCCGACGATCACCTCTCTGGACTCCACACACAAAGCGCCTGGCGGGGGGCTCCGGCAGCACCCCCCGCCCAGGCTGAGCCCCCGCCGGCTGCTGCCCAGGCTGGCCAGGAGATCTGTCACCTCCAGGCAGCCAGCAGCTCCCTCCAGCACTGGACGGTGACAGTGGAAGACCCCCGGGGTCCCAAGCCGGCAAGAAGGAGACAGTTCGGCTCTTCAAAGTCAAGGTCCCCTCGACCTTGACCCCCCCTTCCTGCTCCTCTGAGAGCCACCCCTTTGGAGGCCAGCCTGCCAGCGCCTCCCTCTGCCCCGCTTGGCTCACTCTTTCCTGGCAGAGTCCACCCCCGGGACCCGCGCCAGGCAGACTCCGGCAGAGCTGGGGCTGGCGCTGGCCGGACCAGCCGATCGCTCCCGGGCGGTGGCCCCCAGCCTGGGCCAGACCCCGGCCGGCCCCCTCCCCGGAGCCCCCTAGCAGCGCCGTACTGACCACAGCTCCCCTTCTCCCCAGCTGTCCTCCAGGAACCTCAGCCAAGCAAGCAGTGGGGTGGGGGCAGGGAGAGGTGTCTTATAGCAGCTGGGGAGAGGCACAAGGAACTAAAAATACAGTTTACAGGGCAAAGCTCCTCCTCCCCCTGGAGGCCAGGGGGGCTTATTGGAGGAGGACTGGCAGGACACAGGGATCCTGATGTCCCACTGGCAGGTGCGGCCTGCACAGGCCAGCTTCCTCCCTGACCCTCACCCAGCCCCACCCCTGAAGCCCCTGCCTCCCCTTCCGCCCTTCCTGGCCGTTCTGGCAGAGACAGCGGCCCCTCGGGGTCTGCCCCCTACCGCACCTCTTTCCCCTCGGGGCTATCTCATCGCTCTCTGTTTTGGGGTGCAGCTCCCCACTTTGACCTCCTCAAAGCAGAAGTGAAAAAGCTATTCACTCAAAAGCAGGAATATACAGCATTTCAGGGTGACAGCTCCCCCCAGAAGCCCTTTGCCTTAGACACTTTTAAGTGAAAGCTCTACTTGACACACGAGAATCCGGAGGCGCAGAAAGGTTAAGGAACTTGCCCAAGGTCACACAGCCAGGGAATGTCAGGCACGAATTTGGAACCTGGGCAGTCTGGCCTAACTGTGGAGCCACATCCCCTTCCCCTCCCACATCTTCCTGACGGCACTTTGCGAGGAACCAGGTTAACCGTTCTTTGAATGTGTGTTTTATTGAACAGAGTCCTCCAGGGTCTTGACTCTGTGGAAGTAAAAAGAGGGGGTGGCCCTTCAGGGAGGCTGAGTGGGGGCCCTGCTGCCATCTAGTGGCAGCCAGGAGAAGCGCCGCCGTCGGTGGCTGGGTCCCTTGCGCACCCTCTCACCCTCCCGCAAGGTCTGTTTCTGTCTCTATATTCCTCGCAAGGGATGGTTTGCCAAACTTAAAAAATGAGTAATCCATGGTCTTTGCTCCTGAGGGACTCAAAGTCAAACACAATAGAGATTTGAGCAAAGGATGGGAGAGCAGGAAAGCCCCCGAGGTCTATCCTGAGAAAACCCGTTGGCAGAGATAATCTGGGTGGATTTTGAAGTATGAGGGAACAGCCTGAAGCATCTCCTAACATCCTGTCCATCTCCGAAGGACACACTGTGAGGGAAAAAAACCAAGGGCTGCAGGGGACAGTGTGGGTTGGGGTGCTGGGGGAGGGGGGACCTCCGGAGAGGTCCAGGAGAGGTGCCAGAGCCAGGACCTAGGGACTTAGAAGTAACAGCTCAATTTCACTGGGCGCCAGGCTCTGTGCTGGGCCCTGTGGAGGTTGAGGGGCACAGCAGGTTGTGTGGTGTAAAAGGAAGGTAGCAGAAGGTGATAAGACAAACTGAGAAGATGTCTTAAAAATAAAATGGTGGTGGCCCTCCCTGGTGGCGCAAAGGGTTAAAGCGCAGCACTATGAAGCTGTCCACAGCCACAGCCACAGCCACTGCAGCACGAGTTCGATCCCCAGCCAGGGAGCTGACCCACAGGGCGCGGCAGACTCCTCCTGTCCCGCCTACTGCTCCCCTCAGCAGTGGATTTCAGTGCATCTGCCTGTTTCTGCCCCCTACTTTGTCTCTGGTGAATCCTCTCACCCCTCTAACCTCTGGTCTGTACCCCAGTTCTGTATGCATAAATAAATAAATCTTTTTAAAAAGAAGTGAGGAAACAATCAATAGAAAGGAAAGAGAAATGACCACGGTGGCACAGAAATACAAAAAAGAGATCTTGTGAATCAGGCGACTAAGCCGTATGTGTTTATCACAGCGCTGTCTACAAAAGCCAGGGCGTGGACAAACCTCAGTGCCCACTGCGGGGGACTGGATCAAACAGATGAGGCATATCCGCACAGGGAATATTATTCAGCCGTGGGAGAGGCTCGGGGAACTTGCATACAGGAAAGCAAGTCCGAATGTCAAAGGCAAATATTGTAGATTTACACATGAGACAGCCAACAAAGCAAAATACTTATGAAAGCTAGAAGACGTGAATAAAAAAGTGGGGGGCTTTGAGGTTACGAGGAAGGGGGGAAGAGCCAGAGGGGGATAAGGAATGGTGGTAAGAAACACATACATGTAATCACGGCCTCAACAAAAGGCTAGTTCTCGTCCACCTAGAAGCCCAGACGTCCTGGTCCAGGTAGGCACACAGCCTGTCTCTCTGGTTTCTGCTGTGTTGCACACAGAGCCACGACCTCCTTACCCAAGATGGCTGCCTGAGTTCCAGCCATCACATCATCATCCCAACCAGCAGAAGGGCAAAAGGGGTAAAGCAAAGCAGTGTCTGCTACCTTTAGGCACTTGTGTTAGAAACTGTCAACAATATCTTCTCTCACTACATGTGCCATGGCCAAAAGCCTGTGCAAAACTATCCTTTTGTTGAGGCTGTGACCGGGGAACGGGATGTTTATTGCTGGCCAGATTCTGAGGGAAAAAAATTGGTAGTTCTACCAATTTGGAAGACGGGGTAAATGTAAACGAGGTGAAAGCTGGTCATTTCTGCCACGGGGCTGTTGCAGAGCATGACACATGCAGAGAAGTACAAATATTTTGGTGTTTCCGTGGTGGAGCGGGAGGGAGGGAGCCGAGGAGAATGCAGCCCCGTGGAGCCCATGGGAGTCAAGGGGCTAAGTTTCTCCCAGGAGAGAAGCAGAGCAGCGAGGCCAGGCTCGGGCTTGTTCTAGAAACACCCGCTAGTTCCAGACAGGAATGTTAGCTCATAGGGCAGGTCTGTAGGCTGGAGACTTTTCTCCCAACATTTTCTGCTGGCAACTCTCAAACATGCAGCAGAGTTGAAAGGGTCTGAGCACGAACCCCGGAATACGCGCCATCTCAAGTCCACCCCTGACATTTTGTTAGGCGCCTTTGACGGGCATCTGCAGCCTCCGCCTTCCCACCCCCAGATCGCTGTGGTGGAGTGACCGGGGGCACCTTCGCGCCCTCACACGCTCCAGCATGCGGCCGAGCGCTCAGTACTGGGGGGCCTTTTCCCCCTTTGATGTAAAATTTACACCCAATGAAATGCACAGCTGATTCTAATCTGGCTTTGGCAAATGACAGTGCGCCCCCCAGGCCCCTGTCGGGACACAGAACACCCCAAACCATCCCCACACGCCGCTGCCTGGCCCGCCCTGCCCGACCACACGGCTCCGGCTCCAGCAGACCGCGGTCCTGATGTTGGGGGCTGTTTTGGGGAAGGAAGATATTTAAGCGACTGTGGTGGCGCCCAGTCCTGGCATGCGGTGGGGGGGGCTGTTCTGAGCCCAGGGGGAGGCAAAGGGGTAGAGGGGAGCGGGATGGCACTTCAGGGGTGGCTGGAGAGAGTGGGCAAGGGGAGATTTTGGTCATGAGCAGTGGTACCCTTCACACAGGGGGAGGCAGGGGGGGTGCGGGGGTGCTGAAGGGGCAGAGGAGCCTCCTTTGGGGCAGTTGCATCTGGGGTTCTGTGGGCCGGCATCCGCCAAGCAGGCGGTGGAAGGACACTCTGCCTCTGGAGGCCTTCACTGCACCCCCATCTTTCCGGGGTGGTGTTGGGAAACCCCCATGTTTTGCAGTTTCTACTTCCCCCCAGCACCCTCTTGCCCTCTCCTTCCCCTCAATTTCAGCAGGTTCCCACCACTGGGAAAGGCAGGGGGTCCCCCTCCAGAAAGGAACACCCCTACTTTCCCCAAGGCAGCCATGTGGGCACAGAGATGGCTCGAGGCAGTTACTTCTGATTGGCAGAAGACAGAAAGGAGCTGGAAGAGGGGCCAAAGCCCCCCTGGGCACGCCCAACCCCACCCTCATCCCCCCTTCCTCCAGCACCCTGAAACCCCCAGCCCAGCCTCCCCTTTCCTGAGCCCTCCCTCCTTCCCTTTAAGGACAATCAAACTGGAGTCTTAGTTACAGCCAGGAAGGGCAATGGCTGCACCCACTGTAAGGGGACTTTAGGGGGGCTGGGGAGAAGCGAACAACCACCTGGTCCCAGATACAGGAGGAATTTCTCTAGTCCATCCAAGGCAAACACAGTTCCCCACAGCCAGTAATTTCTTTCTCAAAAGCCCGCCTGGGCCCCTGCAGACATCCCTGCTGCTCCCATTAGCGAGTCTCGACTTAATTCTCAGGGATTCTGCTGAGAGACTTGCCTCCCAGCCACCTCCACCCAGGGGTAGCACAGGACACCCTGGATTTGTCTGGCAACGTGGGGAGACTTACTGGGTCAGACGGAGGGCCAGCCTGGGGGCCGGGTCCAGGAAGCAGCAGGGGTGGCTCTGGGGAGGATGCCAAGGGAAGGGGAGAAGGACTCTGGGGAACACCCCAATTTAAGAGGGAGAAGAGGAGGAGGTGGAGAAGAGAGCTTGCAAAGACAATGGGGAACCCTGAAAATTCATACAAGTGGAGTCAGGCTCAGGTCTGCAGATAGGGGAGGGGTGAGGGGGGACAGGTGAAGGGGATGGGTGAGAGGGGTGGGTGAGGGGGATGGGTGAGGGAAGCCCCTGTGAGTGAGGAGGAATTTCAAGGACTTCTTCCACCCCCGCCCTGGGTTGGGGCCCCCGGAAGTGAGAGTACTAGTCTGAACACTAGCTGCTGTAACAAATGTCAGGGTACAAACAAATGATCAGATAAGCATCGGACAGAATGATAAAAGGAAAAAGTCAGACCAAGCCGAGTAATAGCACGCATGCTCCCTGCTACAAGGGATTCAAACCCTGCACAAGAGCTGCAGATGCCTGTTAAACAGCTGAGCCAGTTTGGGGAAGGCAGTACTCAGATTCATTCTGCTTCCCCACTGGAAAGAATTAAGGAGATTAGGTCTTTCAGGTCCATACCCTTAAAGAGAAAGTGCCAAGTAAATATCCTTTCCAAAAGCAGCCTCCCACCAGCCTCCATCCCAGGGGGGGTTTTTTGTTTTGTTTTTTGCCAAAAAGACATCTTTTGAGATGGCAAATTTTTATTGTCCAAAACAAAAACCCTCAAATCTCAGTGGTTTATTAGCTCTTCATAGTGCTTTTATCAGCTCGGCACCTCCCAGGCCAGTGTGAGTTGGGAAGAAAGCTCCGCTCCACACAGTGATTCAAGGATCCAGGCTTGACCCCAAGAACTCCCAACTCCTCGG